CTATAACAGTGAAAAAAGTGTTTTTTGTTTTTAAATCCAAGCTATTGTGACACCAGTGGCACTGACTGGGGAAATGGGCACAGTATGCACTGTGAGCCTGACACAGAAGCTGGCAGCAGTGGCAGACAACTGACTGCTATTCAATCTATAACAGTGAAAAAAGGTTTTTGTTTTAAATCCAAGCTATTGTGACACCAGATATAAGTGGTGGCACTGACTGGGGAAATGGGCACAGTATGCACCTCAGTGGAAAGCCCCACACAGAAGCTGGCAGCAAGTGGCGCAGAGACAACTGACCTGCTATCTCAATCTTATAACAGTGAAAAAGTTTTTTGTTTTTAAATCCAAGCTGTTGTGACACCAGATGTAATTGGTGGCACTGACTGGGGAAATGGGCACAGTATGCACTGTGAGCCTGACACAGAAACTGGCAGCAGTGGCAGACAACTGACTGCTATTCAATCTATAACAGTGAAAAAAGTTTTTTGTTTTTAAATCCAAGCTATTGTGACACCAGATGTAATTGGTGGCACTGACTGGGGAAATGGGCACTGTGAGCCTGACACAGAAGCTGGCAGCAGTGGCAGACAACTAAGTGCATTTACATTACATAGAAAAAAAAATCCAAAAAAAGCATACCCTTATCCCTAACCTAGCTATGCTTTTCCCTATCTTATGAACAGCAGCTACACTTTCCCTCCTCTTACTAAGCATGCAGCTTGAGAATGAATCTAAAATGGATGCTGTCCAGTAGGTGGGAGGGTCTGCTAGAGAGGCTGTGCTGCTAATTGGCTGGAATGTGTCTGCTGACTGTGAGGTACAGGGTCAAAGTTTACTCAATGATGACGAATAGGGGGCGGGTCGAACCGCGCATATGTTCGCCCGCCGTGGCGAACGCGAACATGCTATGTTCGCCAGGAACCGTTCGCCGGCGAACCGTTCGGTACATCACTAGTCGTGACATTGGGATTAAACTGCTAAGAATAGTACTACTTAACACACTACTCCTATCTGGTGGCACATTAGATTGCACGCGCAGTGCCCCCAATTTGAAGAAGGAGGACCGACCAAGCATCTTTTTCCATCTCCCGGTTCCTAAAATCGATGCCATATACACGTCCCCTGATAGGGGACGTAACAGGGATTAAACTGATAAGAATAGTACTACTTAACACACCACTCCTATCTGGTGGCACATTAGATTGCATGCACAGTGCCCCAAATTTGAAGAAGGAGGACCGACCAAGCATCTTTTTCCATCTCCCGGTTCCTAAATCGATGCCATATACATGTCCCCTGATAGTGGACGTAACAGGGATTAAACTGACAGGAATAGTACTACTTAACACACCTTATAATAATGCAGAGAGAGACAATGCAGAGAGAGGAGTCTGAAGAAGAGGTGTCATGGGAGGAAGGTGGCTTTGAGGAGGTGGAAGACCAAACACAGCAGGCGTCCCAGGGGGCTTGTTGTCACCTTTTGGGGACCCTTGGTGTTGTACGTAGCTGGGTGGAGGTAGAGACCTTCAATGACATCAGTGAGGACAAGGAACGGGACATGGCTAGCTTGGTATCCAACCTTGTGCAAATGGGGAGTTTGCGGTTCTGCAAATGGACTGTTTGCGGTGCGTTAAACGGGGAGTTTGGTCTGTCACTGTGAAGCGGGCGTAACCCTTGCACTACCTGATCGATACAACATCATACCTGATGTTTTAAAGCACGTTATTCCAAGCAATTTAGGAATGTTAGGTGATTTATGCCCTTTATGGATTAAAACCAGACTCTACATCAACTATGTAATTTTCCATGGGAGTTTTGCCATGGATCCCCCTCCGGCATGCTACAGTCCAGGTGTTAGTCCCCTTGAAACAACTTTTCCATCACTATTGTGGCCAGAAAGAGTCCCTGTGGGTTTTAAAATTGCCTATTGAAGTCTATGGCGGTTCGCCCGTTCGCGAACATTTGCGGAAGTTCACGTTCGCCATTCGCGAACCGAAAATTTTATGTTCGTGACATCACTACTGGTCCTTGTTCGGGGGAAATTCCCCGACCGTAGACCTGCTTTCTGGCACATGCAGGTCTTAATTATCAAAAGGTGATAATTTATTCATTTATTTATTATAAAAGCGCTACATTCTTTTCTTGTTTGTATATTACATTTGTGATGTTGGAAGGAATCGCATGAATGTATAGCAGCTAATTTAATTTGATTACAATATCCCCATACGTTGGTATATTAAAATTTTGTAAATAAGCGCTGGTCCTTATCCACTTTTTTGCAGTAGTGCATCCTTACTTACCAACAGTGTTGTAAAAATGGAAGTTTGTAATATTCTGACACCCAGACAAAATGAGTGCAAAAAAAAAAGAGCTATTCCATCGTGTACAAGAAATGAATCATGGAGGATTCCCAGGGCAAGAATCTTATGGCTTTCTGCAAAGAGCTGAAGCTGGATGTCCGAATGGTCCGAAAATTGCGGGCAGAGTATGATAATCTCATGCAACTGGTGGACGAGGGAAATGACAAGAAGCGCAAGTGTGGATCAGGTCAGCAACTATTATTTTCTGAGCTGGAAGGCATCATCTGTGAATGGATTGCAGACATAAGAGCAAAGGCTTTGGTTGTGCACAGGGCTGATAGGATCTTCCTTAATCAACATGAACTGTTGCTAAGAAGATCGACAACATTGTTCAAGCTGAAAGATACTGACATTATTAAATGTGCACTTGCATTCAAGACTTTTGTTGATCGTATCGACTTTTACCAAGTTTCCAACATGACTCGTATGGATGAAACTGCACTGTTCGTGGACCAAGGATCTCAAACAATTGATCAGAGGGTTCCCTCATCAATCTTCATTCCCTCCACTAGTTATAAAAAAGCATGTCTTACCTGCATTTTGGCAATTCGTCTAAGAGTACCAAGGTCAAATACACTATATATATAATCAGAAAGAAATGCCAGAACTCTTAGGATTCCAAACATTCTTCTTTTCAGTGGGGTCACAGCTGCAACTGGCCTGTCTCTCCAGCTCTGTTGACACCTGCGATGGGGTGCTCACCAGCATTGTGGTACCACCCCGGCCAACCTGAGCTACCACTGGGGCCACATTGAGGAGGCCCATTGGATGGTCCATACTCCTAGGGCCACCCATTGGCAATGTATTTCCAGGGGCCCGGTCAGCACTGCAGCGCTTTAAGAGCAACTGGGCCCCAGTGATGATGTCAGAGTGTTAGTAGGGAGTGACAGAGCCGCACAGGAGGAAAGCACTGGAGAAGAAGGGCAGGGGTCAGAGTGGCCTGTGGCAGCAACTGGACCCTAGGGAAGTCACCATCCTGCACCTAAAAGATAGGAAACAGGGGGGGGCTGACAGCCGACCAAGATGGTCGCATGAACCTGGAGCTCCTTAAGTAAACTTCCTAAACAGCCTAATCTTGGACATTTGCACTATAATTTTAGCACAAACCTTCCATCAGGGAGCATCAGGTCAAGTGACTGACCCGCCTGAGCCCGACTTTAGTGGGCATAGCCCTCATGTCCTGCAGATGCACTCGAGGTGGGGGAGGTGGCCGATCATCTGCCCAGGTCCAGAAAGCACCCACTGCGGAGCCCTGCCCCCCCCTTTGGACCGGTGGGGGTTATCCCGGTCCCCACTGGCACACTCTTGTTGCCCACTTCCAGGAGCTGGCAAATCAAGCAACCCCAGGAGCCATGGCCTAAGGCTTAAGATGGCCACCATATCGCAACCTACAGCTATACTGACCCTCCCACAGCCGTCTCACTGTGATGATGCAACATGGCTGGATCTCACCCATGTAGCCAGCCAAGACTTTGTGGAGATGGAGGTTTAAGCATCTGCAGAGACCAATGTATACTCGCCACACCCGGCCTGAGTGGAGAAGGAGACCAGAAGTGCTACATGCTGGTAACACACTACCCACTATGCCTCCCCACCGTGTCCCTATAAAGTGTCCTGAAGGGAGCGCACTCAGCAAGTGCCATCCGCGCCGTCGGAGAGTCCCAGCCCAGCAGAATCGAACACATGCATCACCATGGAGCCAGAATCCTGTACCTGGGATTGACTGATACTGGCATTGTGGGTCACATCCACGACTTAAAGGACTCTCACAACCTTCTTTTGCCAGCCTCCCACCTGCAGGCATCGGCTGGGGAATCCCTGATCCAGGTCTCTTATCACTCACTAACGCACAAACCGCACTTCATAATGTTCGTACGCATAGATTGTGACCATACCCAGTGGTCAAATTAACCTCACTAGTTATGTTTTCCTACTAGACTAATCTACCTATTGAATCTCTATCTCTCTGCATAACCTTATATGATTTATTTTGCTTAAGGATGTTTATTTACCCCCAAAATTGTGCTGATCTTTTGAATGCCATGATACCATTTATCTGAAATTGTCCTCACAAGCTTGTACTTGGTGTGGCATCATAAGCCAACATGTTACTCTAAGCACAGAAAAAAATAAAGAATTTTAAAAAGATAGGAGGGTGTGTTTTTTTTTTTTTTTTTACAGTTTGCATGTGTGTGTTTGAATGTCTGTAGCTGTATGTCAGTATATCTGTGTGTCTGTGTATCTTTACAGGGAGTGCAGAATTATTAGGCAAATGAGTATTTTGACCACATCATCCTCTTTATGCATGTTGTCTTACTCCAAGCTGTATAGGCTCGAAAGCATACTACCAATTAAGCATATTAGGTGATGTGCATCTCTGTAATGAGAAGGGGTGTGGTCTAATGACATCAACACCCTATATCAG